GATTACCATTCTATAATCATACGGGTCTACGTAGGCACGCCCGCAGGCACACACGCACACACACAGGCACGCACGCAGGCACGCACGCACACACGCACGCACGCACGCATGCACACTCAGGCACGCGCGCATGAATCAGAGCAAGCAGCTCAGAAGACGTAGACGCACTGTATGACTCGATTGCCCGACAAGTGGGAGCCCATGCACATAGTAAATAAGTGTAATAGACTGTAATAGTGTATGCTACAAGCGCATGCTGCGACTATACGCGTACGTTGTCCCGTTCGACAGTGCAGTACAGTTGCATTTTGCTTTGTTTGTGTTGTTTTTTGCTTTGATATTTCAAACCTGTCGGCCTGAAATCCAAACCTGTCAGTGATTTTGAAACCTGTCGGCTCAAAACTCAAACCTGTCGGCCTTATACATGTTAAACCCCCTCGTGGACCACACTGAATGTAGCCTACTAAAAAGTCCAATAATTTGATCCCGTGGCAATGATTAAGATGAAAAACATGTTTTAATGTTCCGGACAAAAATTTTAACTAATGAATCAAATTTTGTTCTTTCTAATCAAAATTGATATTTTCAGGGCAAATCCAGGTTGGTTTTATAACAGCATGTTACATATATCTGTAGCAGCCCAGAGCACTACTCTCTACAACATACATATTACACATTTCTGATTAACTCACCAATCGCAGATGAACGCACAGCAAATGTTTTCTGCTCCCACTCATCACCAAAGAGTTGTGTCATTTGTCCCAGAATTAATGTCACCAACTGTGCACTAAGCTGTGTTTTCAAAAAAGATTCCACAAGTGACCTTGATATTTCATGTAGATCTCCTGGCCTTCTCTCACTGAAACACGTGACATTCCTGAATACAGCAGACTGATGTGGACCACATGATACATACACACTTATTTGAAATCGAATTTATACTCATGAATGGAGGAGAATGAGGCATAAATTGCCCCTACTAAGTCGTATGACGACCTATGGAGATTAGGTTTAGGCCATAACAAATTGACATTCTGTTCTGGTAAAAATAAAAAGATCTAGGTCTTACGAAGACACATGTTGAAGCTCTTGGATAATGTCTTCAAGTTGCTTGTTTATGTTCAGATGATGTCTGTAGGCAGCTACAGTTAGGCAAAAACCACCTGGAATCTGAAACTGTAGAGCCAAAATAAGAATTAAACAAAATTTTAACATCAACTGTTACTTTCAATGGAAATATTTGTATTCATTATATTTTTGTTTGTATTATGGATAACTGTGAAAACTTGCTAGATGCAAGAAAATATTGATAAAATTTCACTAATGTAAAAGCCATAGAAAACTATTAAAGGGCTGTGGTAAGTTGACTACACAGACATGCATAACTCAACAAAAATCATTTGATCAATGAAACAACTCAATTATTTTACCACTTGCTCAGTGAAGGTCGAAGTGAAATGTGCAGTGAGCATATATTTTCACTAGCATAATTGTTCAGTTTCGTCAAGAAGCCTGCATATCCTTGTTAACATCCATGGATAACAATTATGATTAACTTGTGATGCAATGCATAGGCCTATACCTTGCCAGGAAATTGGCTTAGTAAAGCAAGCTGTGCTCCCTTGCCTCCAACTAATTGGGATGCGGTGCACGTGAGGTCATTGAATGGCAGTATCAAAACGTCAGCATTTTGTATCTCTGTGTAAATTAAAAAAGCGAGCTACATGAATATTAATAAGGAAGCATTCTGCAAGTTGAATTATAAATATATTATGCAAACAAGTTTGATCACAGCTGTAGACTATATTCTTCAGAAATAAAATATATACATAAGTTAAATAAATGTATGACTCATTTTAAAATTTCCTAACCAGTAGTTACCTGGTTCTTTTAACATGGGAGTTGATTTGTCCACAGGTACTGGACATGACCCTTCATGCCTGCAGCAATGTAAAATGGTGCAAAGGTGATCTTGGGTTTCAGACATGAGCCACAGGCCCACAACAATAATGGTATATGTGACCATTAATGCCCAACACAGCCCTAACAGACTTGGGAACCTTGTACTTCATGTCTCATAATAACGCTGACAAAACACTTCATGGTAATGTTACACATATGCTAATGTGATTTACTTATTACATTTCACATAATTACTGCAAAGGTTATGAACCAATCTATTCCATCTTTGTTTCTATTTAAAGTCCAGTGTTCAATAATTAGTTATGTTCACTCTCGTCATAGATCACATATGTACGTTATTGAAAAACACCACAAGAAGCTTACTGCCATAATATTCACTTTCCCGATTAGCGCATTTTAATGGCCTATAAGTACAATTACTATGAGACAAATAGCTCATGACTACATCCTTTTTTGAAATGTCTTAAGTGCATGGCTATATGTGGTTCCATCTGGTAGTAATTAAGTGTTGAAACAAGAACTGATCAATATTATTACGTATTACATATACTACATAATATTAAATGTATCAACTAGTAAAATATTTTAATGAATTTTCTGAAACTGTTATAGTTACAAAAGCTAGGAGAGTATCAATCGCATAGCATTTGGTAATATGTGTTATAAGTACTCTACGTACCTGTACATGTACTCTGTGACTCCCCAGCCATTGACTCCATTTATTGTTACATCAGTTAACTGTTCATGAATCTTGGCACTCCATCTCTCTCCTACGTAGAGAATTTGCTCCAGCTTTTTTTCTGTTGTAATAGTGCAATCGAAATGGCCTGGAAGCACAAGAATTCCGAACGCTGTTAGTTGTCACGACGTTACATAAAATCCTGACAATGTGTGATAGCTCATGTCAGAATATCTGCATACGTCTCTATATTAAGATTGGTAAAAATTATATTAGGCTGATATAATGTTAACCTGCAAGAACGTTGAAGTCAAACTTATCAGGAGGCTGTGTAAACTCCCCGAGTCGTGACAAGTGCAAGTCGGTTGACTTCAGCACACAACGTTGCCCACTTGGCAGGACTATGTATCCGCTGACAATGCTGAAGCGATGCAAAAGAGCAATATAAGTGTAAATTATTAAGTGAAAAAGTGTACTTCATAAGTTAAGTATGAGAACATAATGTAATTTTCTATATTATTAAATTCTATTAAAGTTGACTGAATAAAATGAAGCAGAGAAATTTGCCCCCGACATCCCTCCTAAATGTTATAATCAGCAAAGGAGAATGTTTAGAATACTTACTGACTCAAAAAGTCAGGAATACTACTGGCTGAAAGTGAGTACAAAGTTCCATCCTTAGAAAAACAAGATTACAAATATTAGTTCAATGTTCATTGATAATGTGATAAATAAATTGCTACTAGATTACAAAATTCTCTTATTATTGATGACTATTCTTTCGCCAGATATATTGATATTTACACATCACTATGCAGTTAGCACTGTGCATGCCTGGTATGCGTATGCGTATTAGTGCCCAGATTCAGATTAAGAATCTCTTAAGCCACCTACCTTCAGGTATCCCCAAGTAGAAATGTATCTGTTGTATGTCTTCCAGTCCCGAATGCCAAAGGAATGCTCCCTAACTCCTCTCAGTAACAGTTTTCTCTCTGCCTCACCTTCCACAGTTAGTTTACCGAGCAGCTGTCCACATACCTCATACCTCTGATTCACCTTACTACAGTGGTAAGCAAATAGTATCATTACTAATAGTGATTTTAAAAACGAATTCTGTTGATTTACTTTACATCTGGTATTGGAGGAAACCGTGTAAAATGCACAATTTGTACATAATCATATGTTAATGACAGGTTCTTGTGCTTGTGCACTATACACATGATCCTGAAGATGAAACCATGATTACCTAACGTTCAATAAATTATCCTTTAACGTTCCACTCCATGGTTCTCTAGCAACTGCATCAGATATTGTCGATGGGTCATAGTCATTGTCGTAAGAAAACTCTCCAGTAAGGGCTGTCCAACTGTATAACATGGTTAATATAATGACAATAATAAAGGATTAATGACGAGCATAATATGAATAGGAATGTAAAGAAAAATACAAAGAAAGAACATACATGGAGTTAGTATGGTGTTCCAAAATTGCCATCACGTGTCGTGCGTTTCAAATGTGCGACGTCGCGCACGACGTCGCACATTTCTGTTCCATAATTGCCGTCACGTCATTGTTATTACCAAGAACTAAACTATTAATTTAATGACAAAAGTAAGCAAAGTATAGAATGAAAAGAAAATAGGATAAAAAGGAAAAGAAAGAAGATATAAAACGACACACAAATAATATATATAATGAATGTACTCATATGCGAACAGAAGTCAATAGAAAGAGCAGAAGAAAAATTATGTGACTGACACAAAGCAGATGGAGAGGTAATAGAATAGACACATATAACGGAATAAAACCATATAGTAGGAATAATAGAAAGGTCAGTGGAAAAGAAAGGCATATCAAAGTAGAAAAAATATATATGAATAAATTTAAATTTCTTTGTAAATTAAACCTCCTACTAGTACTTTGTCATTGATGAAAATACTGTATACCAAGTATACTAATAAACAGTTGTATAAATACATTTACATGCATTATAAACCTGTAAAGACGCAACACCTTTTTTGACTAACGAACATTTGGCTAGACGATTTACCTATTTTGATTCATTTATTTATGTAATTTTTTAGCTTGTAAACTTTTAGAATATGGTCGTCATTCAGGACCCTTCTATATCGTAACTCTCTATAGATTTTAGTTCACTGTGATACACAAGAATATGTAATGCAGCCAGTATACATACATGAAAGCAAACTTTACATGCACCAACTTTCCTTCATTGTCTGCATTCCATTCACTCCTCTCTCCTTCCCTAATAAAAAAAACGCCATAATACCATTACTATATATCAACCGTTTAAAAAAGGAAAAAAGATTTAATGCTAGAAATATGTCTGAACATATGTTAAATACAATATAGGGCATTGAAAAATGTAACCACATACCTAAGCAGGCCATTAAATGTTACCCTCCACTTCATCAGGGGTTTAAGCAATTCAATTTGCAATCCTCCGGCAGTGAAGCTTTCCCCGTCACAGTTGTACACCCTGGTGTCAGGGAAGCTAGGAAAATGGTAGTATTGGCCATCAGCTAGCTTCAACATCAGCCACACCTACAGCAGGGAGAAAGTCGAATACTGGTTAGATATTACACAATAGACAGCCAACACTATGCTCATTCCCCTAAACCTTATCAAAGTGGCAGCCCTCTGTAAAAGTGCACGTGTCGAGAAGCTGGGAAAACCATGACAACAATACAGATATGACACCACACAGTCTAACAAAGTTCAAAAGGTCACTGAATAATAAACCATTCTTACCATCGCACTATCATCAAAAAAGCGAATGCACTATGCAAATATTTGATGTGCAAAAAAAATTAGCCAGCTGTTTGAGTACAGTGTCAGCACTGACATATGCTAGCTCGTTTGCTGGGCCAGGTGCATGGGTTAACAGCTAATGAATTAGCACACACTAAAGCCAAATTAGCTAGGATATTAGTTTAAAGAACACCCATGAGAGCCATCGTGCTCATGTCTAAAAGGTAGCAACACAGACGGGATAGAGGAGAAACTTGAAAGAATTGGGCCGAGATGGTCACATACATGTACGTTTATATGTGTGTGCTTGCATTGTACAATGCTACGTAGTGAAAACCCTCATGTGTGACTGACTTCGTGCTGCGGTAATGTTGCACCAGCATTGAATTTTCTATTGTTGCCTCGAATTTACAGAAATCAAACGTGTTTGATATTTGACGTATGAAAGCACGTATCACATGTGTAAGTACATATAATATGACCAGAAAAACACATGTAAGAATGGTGTAATTCAATGTGCATCAGGCTTTGTTATGAACTGCGGTACAAACCTTCATACAATCTCTCCATCACCGTCAACAAAAATGGTCATAGATCACAATGTATTGCACTTAAGGATAACCGGATCAAAGTAGGTTATACCACTCAAGAACAAGGATCTTACATAAGATGTAAAAATCAATTATTGTAAACTAAATCCTAGGACTATACCTCAGCAGTTCTGCCCGGAAGCCGTGTAATGCGTGCAACTAACCAGTTGCCATGACGATCCAATCCACCAATATACATGGAATCAAATGCCTGAAGCAAATTAAAGCCTCTTATTTCATTAAGAGTAATTTTACTTTATGATGAATCCTAAAAACGATAAGAATTAATCATGAAACAATTATCAACAAAGCCAAAGTACTTATTCTAAAATCTCCCATTTCATCATATTTTTGTCGTAATCACTGAAAATGCTTCACATTTTATGCACCACACCTTATAAAACCATTGACTTTAATTAGCAGGCTAATTACCAATGAAAGTGTCAATGACACTGTAGCTCACCTTGGGTGTGATAGAAGAGGTAAGGGGGATATATAAAGCAAGAGTATATATGGGAGAACTCCCATTATATAGCATATCTCCCATTATATACTCTTGATAATGATGATATATGAGTAATTTTTGATGCGAAAATAAATGTTTCAGATCTGTTGGCATACCATCTGATGGCATTGACTGTAGGCAGACACTGAAATGCATAGTGAAATTGCCAAAATCTACCTAATTTGCATAATTAATTATTTTTTTAAACCGTGTGATATGTTTTGGGGCCAGTCCTTTAGGACGTTCAAACCTCTCCCATAGGAGTAACAACTGTATGCAATTTAAAACATGTGGGTCAAACGGTTCTTGAATTATCGTTGACCGTATCCAGACACTGAAATGCATAGAGGAATTGCCGAAATCTACCTAATTTGCATAATTAAAAAAAAATATCAAAACCTGTATATGTTTTGGAGCCAGTCCTTATTCATTCACATACCAGAAATTAGCAAAATCCGATGAACCTGAACTGACTTATGGCCATTTCCATTTTTGCGAAAAAGTGGACGTGGCACCAAAGTAGGTCGACTGGCGTGCTCCAAAATAGGACGTTCAAACCTCTCCCATAGGAGTAACAACTATATGCAATTTTAAACATGTGGGTCAAACGGTTCCTGAGTTATCGTTGACCGTAGCCAAATGTTGACGGACGGACGGACGGACCACACCCCATGGCAATAGCTCATCCTGACGATGTCAAGGTGAGCTAAAAATCTGTGATACAAACATGATATATCCCTGTCCCGCTGAACCAAAGATGTAGAAAAGCTAGACAACCCTGGTAATTTGTAAAAAATCTATATGAAACCAACCAATATGGCAAAAAAAGAAAGTCCAAACCGTTAAGGAGATATTCGCATATGAAGTGAATAATTCTTTCATGTTTTCCCTTAATTTCTAAACTTTGACGAATTGTGTAGGGTTTATTATGAAAGATATTGAAAAATCGTTTTCATATCTGTATTTGGGAGAAGAAACAAAACATATTTTGTAAAAAATATGAATTTTGCACTAATTGACCTTTGACCTTAATTAGTGAACCAATTAGGCAAATTTGGGAAACACAAACACTTTTTTCATATTCAGCACGAAAATCCACTTCAGAAACACCTATTTGTTTGCTTTTCCTCAAAATTGCCTCATGAAATAAAATGTTTGGAAAATTGAACCAGTCTATATTGGAACAAAATTATTTCTCTGTAATTAATGGCGGCCAATAGTTTGCATATTAATGAGTATATTTACCACTTATTACTTCGGAAATGTGTTTATCTTGTTCTCTGATCTTCAAAACACGTGTCTATACATTCTATTGTTCAGTTTTGCTTGCTTGGGTACAAATTGAGTTATTGTAGAAAATGGTCCAAGAAAGGTCCAAAATGACAAATTGGTGGCCATTTTGTTTATGCAAATTAGATGACAAAAAACTCAAAATTTCGCTTGGGAACCGGGCTTATCGGATTCAGCATACTCGAATTATGTTCAAAAGTCTGGTTCCCAACTTTTACCCCAAAATGCCCCTAACATTCACATTTTTCAGAAATCCCACTAGTCTATTATCTGTACCACACAATGTTCTCTAATAACCAACATGGTTATAAAAATAACAATGACGATAAACCAACATCATTGGGAAGATTATATATATATATGTATAAATACTATAGTATCACGATCGAGTTTATAATATAGAACTATATTATACACTCTTGACAGTATCATACGCAAGCATGGTCACAGAGGAGTTGTGGCTGCTCCAATCCAGCATATCCAGATTTGCTTTCCAGTAATAAGCAATGTCCACCTGTTGGTAACTTAGCAGAATGCCTCCACTTTCGTACAAGACAGTAAATGTACACAATTGCCCTCTTTATTGAATACCATTTCCCTAGAAATGAATTCACAGTAGTATTAGTAGAATATTTTGCTCGTTACATGCGCTTTTATAATTAAAAATGAATTGTTATAATGGCTTTATACTTCACAAAGAATAGAATACAAAGACACAGTTTACACCACTAAAGCTATTTGCCTTACCTGGTTGTGTGTATTTCCCAATGATGGGAAGAGGAGTATGCCTGTAAAACACGCAGTATATAACGTAAGCAGCGGAGAGCGCAATCAGTGCCTGTAGAACCATGCCAACACGTTGCGCTCACAAGCAGAACTGAATCAACTCATGGATCGAGGGTCATGGAATGTAACCCTCTGCTATGAGCACTCATGCATGGTTCAAGGGTACACCAGAGCACTTAAATCAACGTTGATTTAAGTGCTCTGGGTACACTACATTATCTGGACGTTACTGTGTACCCCCCCCCCCCCGGACGCCCCGTCCTTGTGCAAACCGAAGATTTGAGTTAATATATGCAGCGGCACGCTCCCCCTACTGGCCATTTTTACAAGACAGGGATAAATCATACAAGCATCACCTGGGAATTCGACTAATCTGAATTCGTGGGCAACAGTGACTGACTTCACACAGTGTTTGCTGGTAATCATGTCATGGTAGCATGGTAGAACATTTTTGGGATTGAAAAGCGCACGAAAAACTATCGAAATCCTTAAATAACCCTAATTACCTCAATCAATACGCCCACCGAATGCCAATCACGATGTTTACTCGGTGACGTGGCCGCTGCTAGCCGACCAACGCGTCACGTCATGCGCCTACAGTTTTTACACAAGTGGCTGCAGTCTACACAGGTCGCTAAAATTCGAGACTGCTCGCTGGCAGCAATTGATCCGTGCGCCGGTCTTTCGATTTGGCGCACGGATCAATAGCTGCCAACGCGTGATACTTTCGTAGGATGTTCCCGCGGTCGCGTGCGCCTTGCCGCGGAACTGCGCGCAAGATCCGCGCTCAGCGGGCAAAATCAACACCTCGTTTGGGCGACGCTTCTCTGGTATCCGGTCTCTCATCTGGGTCTGATCCACGGGGTCATTTCTGCTATCACAAATAGGTCATTCGCTACTAGTACATCGTACTAGTACTAGCAACTGGATTTCGAGCAACTGGAAGCGATCGGCAGCGACTAGTTGCGTCCAGTTGCCCACTGTTCTATTCCGAGCAACTAGTGGCGGCCAGTCGCAGGCAGTCGCGTCGCAGTCGACCGACCTAAGCACTGCAGTCGCAGTGAATTGCAGCCAGTTGCTTCCAGTCGAGTCGGCTCGCAAGCCCGACATAAGCCCCCCTTAATTATACGTTACAGTAACGTGTGCAGATAGTTTGCACCTGGGAGCTCGCATGCTCCTTCTACCAAGAATATAAATTCATGCATTTCAGTGGAATTGCTGCTTCAAGTTACTACTGTGGTGTTACTGGTGGTGCGTGGTGCGTGGTGCAGTGGTGCGTTACTGGTGGTTAATGCGTGACCCTAATACTGCAGCCGTTCTATCTGGCGTGTTTCATGGCTAGACTTACAACAAGCAATATTTAGTAATGTGCAAGAAATAATTGTTGTTAGATGTTGCATTTGGGAGAGGGGTGGTCGTTACAAGACATAAATGCATTTCAAATGGATATGTAACGGAGGAAACAAGTCCCTCCCTCCCTCACGCCCCATCACTTTCTCCTGCATTCATTTTGCATTCATTCTCTTCCTCCTACTTATTTCCGCTCTCTTCCTCTTCTTTTATCTCTCTTTCTCTCTCTCTTTCTCCCGCACTCATTAGTTATATGGAACACACACAGTATGAGTATAAATACTGCGTGAGTCATGCAAAAAATTATTTGTTTTGGATTGCACACTATGACCATGGCTGTTTGACAGGATTCGCAGGTGCAGGAAGAGACAAAAGATGGGAAGACAGTGATGATATTAATGTATCTTAGAGGTCCCGCAGCATTCCACTTGCAATAAATTGCATCAGTGCTTCTCTGTCAAGGACTGAAGATGGAGAAGAGCTCACGATATAAAAAAACATCCACAGGAACGCAAGTGCTATCAGAATGCCAGTTGGTCATCTGACGAGGATCTAGCTTTATATGCAGATTCATGATACCAATGGAAAATGGGCTGAGAATGTAGCTAATAAATGATAATGACCATGATATGAATATAATACAATAATAATCTTCCTGTTTTAAAAGTCGGCTACTAACTGGTTGTGTTTCACTTCATGATCCAAGTTTGCAAAAATACAATAGCCAATTTGCTTATATTTGTTTTATTTTCATAAAAATCACTGTAATTAAACAAGAGATATCTAAAAGTAAATTTGATAGGACTTAATAATTGAAAGAAACGCCTGCTATCAAATAATGTTTCCCATGATCCCATCACCTCATCATAATTCTAAAATCCATATGAATATTGTTTAAAAAACTGATATATAATAATAAACAATCTTAGGAGCAGATCACAATTATCAATATTATCACAATTATATTGATATCCTCGAGAAAAGACAGCAAGAAAATAGTCTGTGGGAGCGTAGATAATATAATTTAGGGTTTTTTTATAACATACGTTGCCAATAAGAATTTCAAATGATGTTTTGTATACTGTGGGTATAGGGGTTGTACAGGGGGAGCAGGATCACTAAAAAGTGTACTGCTTTTATTTTATGATGTTTATAAATGTAAGTCCCCTTAAAAATATACGCATTGTCATTTTTACTTGATTTATGATCGAAACCCCATTTAGTATACACAATAGCTAAAAATCTCAGTCTAGCTTATGATTAGTACAAATACTAAGAAATTATATATGTGTGTATAAACATTCCTGCTTATGAATAGATCGACTCACTCAAATTCTGATGTCAATATCAGTTATTATATATATATATATATATATATTACACTGTATTATATAATATATATAATATACATAAATATGCGATCTTTAAAACACGCCTCCCAAATAGGTCACCGTGATTCTGTTTCTTTTTCCATTTCCATTTCTTTTACTCTCTTCATTGCAACGTTTGTTTATGCCCATTACAGAACATTCTAAACAACTTTTGCCATTGTGCCAACAGCTCCATTTAAAATCACTTCATCTCCTGAGGATTGAAATAATAATAATCTGGTTGAACGTATATATTTACAGTCATTTCACACAACTAGGCAGAGCACACCAAGTAATATGAAATGATTTCGCCATTACAAAATTTACCAAGGATATGTATAAAGAACTCTATAACATAGTAATATGTACATATTTAACAGGATAAATAAGTATAACAGTAATAATAAATAAGTATAAACAAATAAGTATAACAGGATTAGTTAGTAAAAGCTAAATGCCCAAGCTTTCTTGCATTCACTAGGGGAAAATGGAAGAAATTACCAAATGCAGCCGGCATTCAGTTAAATGTATTCTTGGGGTCATGAGGATTTCCCACCATTTTCATATCAGTATAAAATCATATGCAGTACCATAGACTACACCTAAGAGTAGGGCCTACATAGCACTTTCATAGATATAATAATACAAACACAATGTTTATATGGCAACAAAGATCAGCATTACAGCTGACTACGTGGCATTGTATTACCAATAAAAGACATACCTGTCTTGAATATTGATGTGGCATTCCTGGCAGATACAATACATGGCAGTCCATATTCTCTAGCTACTACAGCTCCTACAAACATTGAAAATGTCAATTACATGTAATTATATACTTGTACTGCTACATACATACATGTCGACGCAAGCACGTCATTGCATTAAAAAAATACACCAACTACTCAAATAACAGTATAAACCCAATTGTTACAAAATCTATCATCATTTTAGAATATTTATCATTAAAATTTCTTTCCTTGGTAAGTGTCTGATATTTTCTAGCTATTTAAAATTACTTACCATGTGATACAATGCCTCCCATCTCTGTGCATAGTCCAGATATTATTGGGAAGAAATGTGACCAACCGATGTCTGTTGACCGTGTAATCAATACCTCTCCTTGCTGATGAATGCAATATAACATCTACTATATAGATAGATTCTATCTATATATATATATATATATATATTTATTTATTTATTTATTTATTTATTTATTCATTTATTCATTCATCTATATATTTAGTAGTACTTAAGTAAAAACATACAGACACACAAGGAATTATAGAAAAATAAAATGTAAAAATAAAATAAGGTGTCAACTTTTTAAAATTAATTATTGAAAACTTATTCGATTTTTATATTTTATATAATATATATATATATATATACATAAGACATTCAAGAAAATGAAGAAATCAAAACCAAAGAATCATACCCAATTTAACATGTTCCCTACCTGAATATTTTCAGCATCCTCTAGTGTTTTTGCAACTCTACATTTGGCTCTTACAATTCCATGACTTACTGGCATACCTACAAAGAACAATGAATTAATTTTAATAGAAAACCAGGTTGCTGCAAAATTATGAGCCAAGACAAAGAGCCAACAAAGAAATTAGGCAACCTCCAAAAAATTTGAAGCAAACCTAAAAAAATTAGGAGCCAGCAAAGATATCACTGGGCCCATGATTTTATGCAATATTCAGATCGTATATTTTAGCTGGGCTTCATTTAAGAAATCTCTAAAACAAATCCATCTGAATATAAATGATTACAATTTCTATGCAGTCATAAATATATTTTTATGCCACATTTTCTCAATATTACTCATAAATGAGTGTCAATGACACTGTATAGCTCACCACAAAAAAGGTCACAAATGAGTGAGTGAGAAGAAGTCAGTTTTAATTGAGCAACCATCGACGTAGGACCGAAGAGTATATATGGGAGAACTCCCATTATATACTCTTGATAATTATATGTGTAATTTTTTATGTAAGAATAATAAATAATATTATATATAAATTATAAATAATTTATAAACCAAAATGAATCACAATTTGTGACGGTAGATGGCGCTATACCCACTTTGATGTTTCTTAGCATAAATCATTATATCATAATAATAATAATAATATAATAATAATAGTATAAATCATAATATGTTCATAGCAGGAATTTTGCATTAAAGATATTGTCAATGAAATCTTGTAAAACGAACCAGAGTGTGACACCACAGACTGTTTGTTATCTGCGTGTCTATATAATATGCTATATAATTGCCAACCCCTACCTAATTTGCATGATTTTTTTTTAAATATTAAAACTCCCAGCCCTTATTCATTCACATACCAAAAATGAGCAAAATCCGTTGAACCTGAACTGACTAATGGCAATTCCCATTTTTGCCAAAAAATTGCCGTAGCTCGAAAGTACGTCGACTGGCGTGCTCCAAAATAGGACGTTTAATATGGGAGCATAGAGGTAACAACTATACCCAATTTCAAACATGTGGGTCAAACGGTTCCTGAGTTATCATTGACCGTAGCCAAATGTTGACGGACGGACGAACGGACGGACGTACGACGGACGATGACCAATGGCAATAGCTCAGCTTGACGATGTCAAGGTGAGCTAAAAATGCAATATCTCAAAACAAATTTTCTTCTTAGTAGTATTAGGGTTTGTGTTCCTCATCCACCACACAAATTACTGACATTATTGGATAATACAACTAGAAAGGGCAGTTGTCGCCAACTATATCCCCTGTGATCTAGTATGAATGAAATATCTCTGTAAGGACGTAGAAGGTAGGTAAAGTTAAATAAATCACAAAGACAAAGGTTTGTTACACAACTCATCTGCCTGAGATGCGCAAGTATGTTAAAATTGGTTGCCTTAGGGGTTTTGGTACGCTGCACACCTTCTCCCCAATATGTGTAAGTATACGAAGTTTGCTCGCGCTAGGTCAATTAGGGGCCGAGTTATAGAGCGGAAGGCAAATATGATCAAGGGTATGGTAAAGGTCAAATAAAGATCGTAGTGACCTGGTTTTGGTACGCTGCGCACCTTCTACCCAAGATGTGTAAGTATACCAAGTTAATTTAGTAGCGCTAGGTCAATTAGGGGCCGAGTTATAGAGCGGAAGGGAAATATAATCAAGGTCAAATAAATGTCGCAGTGACCTGGTTTTGGTACGCTGCGCACCTTCTACCCAAGATGTGTAAGTATACCAGTTTGGTAGCGCTAGGTCAATTAGGGGCCGAGTTATAGAGTGGAAAAGAAATATGATCAAGGTCAAGATAAAGGTCAAATAAAGGTCGTAGTGACCTGGTTTTGGTACGCTGCGCACCTTCTCCCCAAGATGTGTAAGTAGACCATGTTTCGTCACGCTAGGTCAATTAGGGGTCGAGTTATAAAGCAGAAGGGAAGATGTCTGCGACGGCGCCGATACATGAAACCATAGTATCCCCGCCGACTTCGTCGCGGGAGATACAATTAATATACACAATAGGTTTACCACATACAACCCTATACAGTTGAAAATAACAGATGCAGAAAGACTGAATACACTGAATTTAAAAGACAAGCTACATAAAAGCAGAAAAGTCATACCAACTATACCAAGATGTCTTTAGTTATTTCAGTATTATATATGAAATAATTGACATTTGTATTTGGCAATTATTCAGGATTGATTTACCTATGACCTGCTGCAAAGTGGAAACATTTGTGGAGCAGTACTCTTCAACCTGTAGTATAATTTTCAAACTAGCATTAATTTATTGTATTAAACTAGCACGTTATGCATAATCATGGTTCAATAAGTGAATGCATGAGACTCAGGGGCAGGTTAGAGCCTATAAATCCAGCATATGCATTACATAATGGATCAATTACATGACATTGCTATATATTTTCAGAAATACATGTTTTACAAAATAAGTCTTTTAGCAAACAAGTTATGTGAACTAGCCTTTTTTCCAACAGGTTAAAAACAATTTACCGGTGTTGGATAGCCATATACGACCTCTGGGAATTTAAAATTCATCATAGATGGTGTCATCTTTTGTCTTCTTGTTGCTCTGAAAGAAATTCTTTCTTTAATTATGCATACTATACATTAGAAGAGAATATTTAAGATTGGAGCATTAATTTTTGATGTATAGAATACAACATGAAACAGAAGCAACTGAGAGAGTAAATATTGCCAAAATACATAGCATTAACAGGGATGGGAATGACAATTTGTGTTTTCAGCTGAAAATAGCCGGGGTCCAGCAGGGGGGGTTGCGGGGAGGGGGGGTTGCGGGAAGGGTAGCGGGAGGCGGTCAGGTCCAGGGTGAAGCCTGGTCAGGGGGTTCAGGAAGTTTTTGAATTATCACAACTTACAAGGCATAAAATTGCATTAGGAGACACATGTGCATACAGAACAGAATTGTTACAGAGCATATTACAGTACACTGCAGGGAGTATATCTTGCACTGTCATTATCATAACACCAGAATTAATAATCAATACAAAAATTTACTTACATTCTGCAAACAAAATTATTTTGATGTACACTTCCACACTGTCCCAAAGGCTAACCTTTATATAATATAAGATGTTCATTGTCCAGGCAGTTTCAAATTCACTGCAGTACAAACACTGTGCCTTGCCAGCTACATCGCACTTTCCGACATAGTCGTTCAACCGCTCCGTCACCTCTTCAGTTTTCTTCCCGATTTTGACACTCAGTGTGACAGATTTTTCTAACCAAGCCCAGCGAAACTCACATCTTTGTCGCTCTCTGCTATGGTAAATGTGTCCGCTTTCTCAATTAATCTCACCATATTTAGTGGTCAAATGCATGAAAACACTGCTCGAAATGAATTCCGTTTTGATTTATTTTGCACACTCAAGCCGTGGTATACAAGGCCTTCATCATTTTACTAATGCTAGGGGCACACGAGCGTATTTTATCGCCCCATCGCGGCGATTAAAATCGCCAGCGAATTTAATCGCCCGATCACGAAGGGGCACACGTAGCGAATTTAATCGCCCGATCACGAAGGGGCACACGTAGCGAATTTGAGAGCGTACGCGTACGCCACTCGATGGAATCACATGATCACATGATGCATCACATGATGCATCACATGATATCAACAACACGTCCGATTGGTTTAGAAAAATCGATCGGGCGACAAAATACGCCGGACACGGGCACACGAGCGAATTTGCCAGTAAATAATCGCCGGCGTAAATAATCGCCCGAAAATATCTAACATTTTGGATACGGGCGATTCGTACGGGCGATTAAAATCGGCGTCGACGTGAACGGGCACACGGGCGAATTTTTCGAGCGATTTTAAAATTCGCGGCGATCGGCGACCTATACGCCTCCACAGTACTGACCCTGCAGACAGGCGTATTGTCTAGACGCATTGTCTGGTTCGCTTGATACAATGTATAATACACATCACATTTATGCTGGCGCTTGCAAATAGATCATTGCATAATGGGATTACAATGTTACAGCCTGCTGTATATTACAATGTTATTAAATGAAGGTACTGTTGGACTGTAAAATGAAAATGTGTACATTAGGTGCGTTCACACTGGTGCGAATTAGCGGGCTGCAAAACCCGGTTTTTGCAGCCCGCTCGAAAAACTGAGCTTTTTACAAGTGTGAACGCAATTAGCTCACTAAATCGCGCTCAAAATAGCGCGCTGCAAAGAACACTTCCGACTGCACTAATTTGGAATCAGCTCGCTTATTTGCACCGCGGCGTGATATTTGCACCGCGGCGATTAGCGAGATATTCGCCTGTGTGAACAACGACACAATTATCTCCGCTATTAGCGGGATGAGCAGCGCGGTTTTTCTTGTGTGTGAACGCGCCTATTCTAACCACCACCCCCCCTAAAATTTTCTCAACAGATTTAGACGTTTCACAAAATCGACCCTGGGACTGTGAAATCCGCAGATTTCCGCGGATCCGCGGAAGATTCCCATCCCTGCATTAATGATATTCTCTTCATGGTGCTCCTGTATGCACAAACATCTGTACATGATTCCTGTATAATAAAGACATTTGTTTACCAGAGCTGTCATTTTCGCAAGGAATAGTAACAAGTGCCGCGGAGCGACAGCGCTCAACTGACGTGTGCTGTAGCAGGGTATTCTTCTGATAAACTTACTGGCAACCGAATCAAGTGCGCCCTCCCGCCACCGCGTTCCCGCTCAGGGCATATATATCTAGGATACTACTAATACAGAGCCGGGTGGAGGGGGCTCTAATAGCAAAAGCAGTTTAGTCCTTTGTTAACAGTCAACAAATCCGTGTTTACCCCGCCTCTTGAGGGTCAAAAGGTTATCAGACACTTACTCTTCGCACGTCAGCAGAAAGCACATTTCATGGTCCTTTCAATAAAGCCATAAAAAGGCTAGGTCACCGCTGAAACAAAAAAGTTTTGCACTCGGTCTGTTAGACCATGTCCTCAGAAAATGTCTGATGTCTGACCTTTCCCCCACTGCCCTTTGACCTGTGACCTCCAATTTCGCGCTGGTGATTGGTTTCCTCCCCATAACACTATACATCGAATATTAAGAGCGTAGGTCAAGCCGTTGAGATTTGTACCGCAATTCCGTATTTCCTCCTATACCTTAAGTTAAGGGGGAGATATTCCCCCTCCATTGACACACCTTGACCTTTGACCCTTGACCCCCCAAATTCGACATCCCGAGTCCTTTTCGCAATCCCCCCCGACGTCCCAAATATCAAGACCGTACGTCGAGCGGTTAAGATTTGTGCCCAACTGTTGACGGACGCACGGACGCACGGACAATCATGCGATTCTACAAGCTGCATCTGACTTCGTCAGCTGAGCTAAAAATCATGCATGAAATATGCAGATGTTGCTGAACCTCACTTAGGTTCTTAGTCAATCTTTAATGGAGAAATAATAGGTGCAAACACATTGCTGACTGGGCTGGAGATATTATGATAGCCCACAGCCTGCAACACCAGATCAAACCAAATCGGGTCTTTGATACTTTTTTTTATATAATTTTACTAACTTGATGATCAGTTTGGCTGAACGAGAGATGATCAACTTTTCAATCTCGCCATAGGTGAAGTAGTATATCAGTTCTTTGTCAGGAAGGTAGCCCTGGAATTTAAATAGAAATAATCATGGTAACAATCAAAATTATTTACGCTTCAATTATTTGCAATCAGTGGAAAATATACAACATACCTCTTGCACTAGCAGTTCAGCCAGTCTATCAATCACTTGGCGCATATAGTCAATGCTTTTTATGACACTGCTTTTAGTCATTTCTCTCATACCCACATTTCTCTTTGCTATTGGCAACACGTATTGTAGAAGTTTTCTGCCAAAAACAAGCATGTAAATATTTAATACAGTATCGTGGTAATTACTTACAGTATAATTTATGTAATACTCTCTTATGCAGCCAAACATCTGCAACTATATATAATAAGAACATGTTGAACGATTTAATTATTATTTATTTTTATACACAGATTATTTCATTGCAACAAAGATTATATTTAACACATAGTGCATTAAACATATTTAACACATTTTGTAACATATAGCATTATTGTGATAATTATAGTCATATATCTTAAACATTTAAAGTCTTTGATACATAAGGCGTTGACATAAAGGATTAATGATGACAAGGAATAGGTATATGTATACATACTTTCTGATGAAACCTATGGGGGTTTTTAACTTGTTGATGGTTTCATCATCGCTCATGTATGGCTTTGTGTCTTTCAGCTGGTCTGGTGACTTCGTCATAAACTAAAATAAAACAGCATTGAGCCACATGTATCAGAACAGTAGTATCTCAAAGTAAATGAGCACCAGTCAATTTAGTGTACGTTCAGTTAATCTACTCTGAACATAATATTAAATTTATTCATACAATGTACTTCTGCATTAAATACATCTGCCTTCAATGTATGTGTATGTCACATTAAAGAAGCTGCTCCGAGTGAAATCCTAGGATTAACACACCCATGTGCAGAATTTGCTTCAAATCAAATGAAATTTATATATATAAACTACACTTTTGGTTTACCTGTAAACTTTTAACAACTTTTACTGGTTGAATCCTCCATGGTCTCTCTGATAATTCAATCTTAGAGAAATACAATAAATCACTATATTTGTAAATAAACTGTTGGAGCATGAGAAAAATTAACAACCAATTCTAAATGTTATTATTAGATATATGCAATTATGACATTTCCATGATACCTTTACACCGCCTCATAAAATATTGACTTAATATATACTTGTCAATTTATACACTGCACTATACTGTCTACTATGTGCAAAGGTGAAGAATGCCAGACCACCTCCAGACCACAACAACATTATTTTAGTTTGGAGTCTATGACAGGTCAATAATTTAAACACCCTATGGTGTATATAAACTTGCCTTTCAAGTACAGTAGTGTAAATTTCAATGTTTTATAAAACTTTCAATGTAGTTTTCATAACCGATATACACAATTTTGTCATTATATCTATTTTACTTGTACTTAATATGAAAATGCTACAATACACAAACACGAGACCATCAGCAAGAAGTCTCAACTATGTACCTCTCGTATGCATCGGTGACCATGAGCTTCAATAAACCGATTGAATAGCTCTTTTAGATTACCACTCTCATCTGATCTCAGCCATTCAACTGCTTCTTCTGAAGTCAATCCTTGGAAGAACTCGGCCTTCCCACAAGCAATCACAGCATGTGCAATTTTTTTGAGAGCAGATGGAATGTCAGCACTGACCACGTCTTTGCAACTCGATAGTAGCATGGCCAGATCTGACACCACATCTTCTGAAGAGCCTGTTAACATCATAATAGTTAATAATAATATGGGGTATATATGTCCAGAATCAATGAGAAGAACTTGTCCAATAAGTGAATATCTATGCACCATATACCTTGTCAAGAAGAGATAATAGGGCTTGATTCAGTTACGTAATAAAACCACCACACCCAATTACACATTTAATTGGTGCTACTGTGGCCGCAAATTTTATATGTGGCGATGTAGCTAATTACCTAGGTATACTGTGTGGTTGTGCAGCACAAAGCCTTAAAAATCATTTAATTCAGCTGGGTATACAGAAGGTAGCAAAAAGAATATATAGATTAGTTATGTTTGCATGTATTAAAAACTTATGCATATAAAATAAGGCATATTTTTTGGAAACATGTGAAAAATGTAAGGGGAAAAGCCCTGCCAATTTGCAATGGCATATATAAATTCAGGCTAAAAAATTATTCTGCTAACAACATGCATGCAGAAATTATATTACAAAGAATAACCACAAAATTGCACTAACCTTGGCCGCTTAAGATGGCTTGCAGTATTCCAGAGCTAAATATAGATGTGTACGTGACATGCATATGGGAGTACCATGCCTACAATAATTGCAGATTATAATGAGATCATATGCTACCAAAAAAAGCAATAAAACAGCATGTAATTTTTATTACTCATTGTCAACTAAGGGTGCATCTGTCATTATATCCACCTAAACAATAAACACAGCAATGTACAATGCAATACACTTACATTCATATTAGCTTCTACGTCCTTTCCAAGTTCATTGTAGAATGTGAGTAGATCGGTGATGCTCATATCTGCTTTGATTTTCTCTGCGAGTGACTTTCCTTCATTGACATAGCGCTGTACTATTAGTACATCCTGCAAAGTACAGAGACCATCACATGCATGCATGTAAATATAATCCACCTATATTATGACTTATAAGTGTATGACACGGAAACACATACACATGAACTGTGTATCCATGACAATCCAGCTTGTCAAATAGAAATTCACTTCACCTTCGATTTAACGGACCCCGGTTTAGCGGACATCAGAAGCAATAGACAAAAATTCGCTGCTTCAGATTTATTTGTGTGCACTGGAAATATAGGGGGAACAATGGACAAGCATGACAGTGGAAGCGCCGAAGCTCCTCTGACTTAGATTAAATTTACTGAGGTCTCCACTATAAGATCATGACAAAACAAACATCTATGTGTTCATGTATCCACCATGAAAGTTAACTAAAATTACTCTACTGTACCCTTTATTTACAACCATTATAGTGTTTATTATGTTTATTGTGTGTGGGCTACTGGATTGTGGATGTATAGTGGGTAATTTTATAATAAAAATAAAATCCTCAAAAAACGTCTATGGCGTACCACATTCAGAAATAACAGACTATCAGTATTTTTGGACACCCCAACTCCTCTATTGGTCCATTAAATCTATGGTTAAATCGAGGATGAAGTGTATTTAGTGTTATTAAAATTAACCTTTTAATTAACCTCTCCCCACACATACCAGGGAGACACTGAACTGAACAGTTTGCCAGATAGATAATCTGAGTAAACCACGTAAACATTTTTCCTGCGTGCCTTTGCTATAAATGCGCGCTTTCTTGAGAGTTCCCGAGTGACAAAATAACTGCTATACTTACATATAAACATAAAAACTGTCCTCTCATTTTTTGATACCACGACGTTTTTGTAGTGCGGTAACGATTGTGAATCACATCAAGCACTTCATCTCCCAGAGAACGCATGAACAGTCCCAGTTCTATTTCATCTTTTGCCTGCCTGGTGTTTTTCCCTATTGTGTACTCGTTCATGTAGTACATACCCTGTAGTGTACACAAGATGAAAACCCTATATAATTTTTGCAAGGAATATGACTATATACGTAGACTATATCTACATGCAGGTTGAACTGGCTGTTACACTGAAACCCTAACATCATTTTTTTCCAGTTGGATATTTACGAGGAGACACGGTTATAAATTTAACATGTCAACCTAACAAACATACACTAGGTATATGGCTTAGTAGGTGGTAGGGGCTTGACAGCACAAACCATAAAAATCATGTTATAGAGTATGGGTACTAGTAGTCAATCATTCAGGTCATCAGATTTTTAACAATATTATAGAGGGAGAGTATATATACATATATATATCAAGAGCTAATAATGACAAATTTGTCATTATTAGCTCCTGATATATATATATATATATATCAGAAGTAGATAATAGGGACATTTTAGTCTGTGTCTCTGGATTGCGGGTGTATACGAGGAAACGATTTCGCACGATGCTAGGCGAATGTACTGTGTACAATTTGAGATCAAGTTGGTTGAGTTACGCGTAGTAAATCGTAAGTATTCTAAGGCTAGTAAATAACGAACGAGGAGAGAGAGAGAGAGAGAGAAGCAGAGACGTGGAAGAGAGAGAGACTGACGAGACAGAGCGTAGAGAGAGATGAGCAGCAGGTGTCCCTGGAGAGCAGACGATGAGAGAGCACGAGAGAGAGAGAGAGAGAGAGAGAGAGCGAGAGATCGCAGAGACTGAGAGAGAGAGATGAGCATGAGATCGATGAGAGGGAGAATGATTAGAGAAGAGTGATAGGAGCAGAGCCGGACTCGGAGCGCAGACGAGACGAGAGAGAAAGAGCGCGCGAAAGAGTGAGAGAAAAGGGAAAGAGAGAGAGAGAGAGAGAGAGAGAGAGAGAGAGAGAGAGACAGAAACACACAAAAACACTAACCCCCAACATATTCATAAAAATATGTCTGCAAAATGATGTAAGCATTGTTTCAGCCTTTGAACGATGACCGAAGCCTGCAATAGTTGACCGCCAGTACTGAAGAAAAAAATGTTGAAAAATGTTATCATTTGATAATAGACTGACATGCGATTTGTACCACACATTTTATACTCAGTGGCCAGTGTCTGGACACTGGTGTGATTTATTGTAATTCAGTAAAATACTGTTTTCTGTGTAATTAATGTACAGAAATTTGTTTAGGCTTACTCTTGAGAGGAAAACCCAATAGCTAATCAGATTGCTAGCAAATAAATGAATGATGTACTACAATTGCAATCAGCACTTCTACACTCATAATATACAACATACCTGTCCAGGTGTTGCCAATGCAGAAACAACAATGTCATTTGATAACGGTGAACTTACACCTGGTATCGCCTCCCTTTGAAGTATCAGAAAATATATTCATTAATTTTTTTAAATAAAGCCTTTATGCTACCAACTACATCAACAGCAAAAAATGCATATATAAAATTACTGGCTTCTGAATATACAAACGAGTGCCTTCAAGAAATGGAGCGATGTACAGCACTGTATGAGGAGTTGAAAGGCTTGATTGAATTGCCATATTATTTACCCAACATTGGCATTTGTAAACATTTCATCATCACTAAACAATGGTCCATCATGTTCATGCATGAGCTCGTAATCTGATTCCATGTTGAGGGATGTGATTGGTCGCGACTGCAACAGGTAAATCTGACCATCCTCCAGAGCAAACTCGATGTCTAGTGGCTCCGAAGCGAACAACTGTTCAACCTAATAACATATAAGTTCATAATAACATAATAACCCATAAGCATTTAAAAAGGTATGGCTTTAAATCATATGAAATGCATCCCTTTACCAATGATTTGAATATTTTTGCATATAACGATAATTTTTGCATTATTGAATACCATGGGTGAAGTCTGGTAGATTGGTGTCCCAAACACTAACAAGCAGACAAAAAGATACGGGTGGATATTTGTTGTGTTTGACAGTATAAAATAAGCTGACGAATGCAAGCAAACCTGTATGCCAACATATCCTAGTTCCAGTGCAACTTTGTCATGAAGGCAACATTCACCTTCATTCTCCATCTCAATCTGCACTAGTCCTCCAGATTCTGAGTAAGCAAGAACTCATTAAAAATCATGACTAAAAATGACTTTTTAATGAGTTTTTAAATAACATATATACAGGCATGGGAATTGTTGATCTGAAAATACTCTGAACACAGTATACCGAAGACATTGGGGCCCATAGGGGGTTGGTGTGGAAGGGGATCACCCCCTTCTCCTGGGGGGCCTCCCCCAAGAAGATTTTGAAATTTAGAGGCTCTGAGATCGCATGATGACTTCTGGAGGTACCATTATTCACAAGTTACAAAGGACAAAATACCTAACTTTTCAAATTGACCCATGTTAAGCATGCATGCAGAATGCAGTGTATTGTTTATATTTCTCCTTGATTAATAAGCAGTGCAATTGCTTCGACTTTTGTTGGCGGAACACACACGGGGGTTCAATCCACCCATGTCCCCACCCAAATCTACCCCAACCCCCAATATCCCAACGGATTTGCACATTTCTCAAAAATGACCCAGGTTGTCCGCAAAAAACTCTGAAATCCGCGGATCCGCGGAAAATTCCCATGTCTGCATCTATGTGTAGTATCTACGTATAGTCTGTTTTCAGAATATCGACAGAAATAATTTAGAATCTATATCACATACCACTGTCTACAACCATCTTGATTGCCTTCCTTCCCACTACAGTCTCTTTGATGCTGAGCTTATTAGAGAAGCTTCTTTGCAGATAGATTGTGTCTGGCTCTGTCGCTCCAGATACAACTGCCTAAGCATGATAACAAAGCACAAAAACAACTAATATCAGGCAAGGCTTACAATGTTACCATTACCAAAACAATATAACACAATAAGCAAAAGAAAGAAGTTGATTGATTATGCTTATGAAAAAGCACATATATAAATTGCAGAAATGGAAATAGCATAAATAAATGGCATACCTCTCCAATTCCGTATGACACATTGATGGTCATGACACCAGGGTTGCCAGACACTGGATCTCTAGTGAAGAGTACACCAGCAACATCTGCATTCAGCATCTCCTGTATACAGACACCCACATCTGCTGCTATAACCTGACCATGGTTCCTGGTGAATATGATGAATTATCGTGAGCATTAGAAGAGAACAGTAACAACCAATATATAATTATACTAGAACACACGAAATTAGTGCTACACGATACATTTCAGCTACATATTTAGCCATGGTGACAATTTCAATACTATATATATATATATATATAATATAATATATATATATAATATAATATAATATATATATATAATATAATATAATATATATATATAATATAATATAATATAATATAATATATACTGTACAGGGGCGTAGCCAGTATGTAGCACTGTAGGCCCGAGCCTACACTTTTTTTGGCCAAGTTATCAACACCCATAATTCAAATCCATAAGCTTGCTGGACGAGTTTAAGAGTCTAGACAGGAAAAACTATTGAAATGAACGTAGCAAGAATATGGCTAAATTAGGTGACCTAATCTTCTGTCATCTAGGCTGTCATTTCTATCGCGTGCCGTTTCATTCAACACTCTACCCGCTGAAAAAGACTAGGATCCGATATTGTCAGTTTTTTAACATTTTAACTCGTTCGTAACACTATTTTAACTCGTTTGTTTTTTGGGTTTAAAAGTGATATTGAATGAGGTGTCTCAAGTTAGCAAGAGGCCAGGGAACCAGAATGAACACTCGGGAAGGGCCGTTTCCGGCCATCTGGGGGGTTTGTAAAACCAAAAGTTTTCTTGTACGCTCCGCGCCAACCGATGGTGGCGCTCCGCTCAGATAGTCGTGCCTACAACTTTGAAAATCCTGGCTACGCCCCTGCTGTAGACCATTGATTAAAATACATTGAAACAAGTAATAATTAGTGAAGTAAATTTAAATACAATTGGAGCACCAGAAATGCACAACAGACCTCCTGTATTCCACAACTTGGTAGGCAAACGAAGATGCCCAGCATTTCACGATAGCTTCGAAGATCTGTGGATGTGTGCAATGGTATTCTGTTAATTATTACAGGTCATTATGCTAAAGGTTTAAGTGTGCATAATGTACTGTTTCATAGAAAACGTATAAAAGCTGTTGCAGTTAATTTTAAATAAAAAATTATTGGTAAAAAAGACTGATTAACCTAGCAATTCATTATATTACCAGGAAAAAATTACGTGTGCACATACTATAATAAGCATGTATAACAATTATAATCATTATCATATGTACAATTACATTAATAATGTTAACAAGTGCCGCGGAGCGACAGCGGTCATCTAAGATTCTAACGTCTACTGCGGTGACTCTGTGGTGGAGTGGTGGGATTCTAGTAAACCCTGTTAGTCCCAAATGTGTTCACATACGCGCCGAAACAGTGGAAGGCACAGGGATGGTATCAGGAACCTTCTCAAAGGAATGCTCGTTGGGATCGTTATGAAAGATGCCACGAGATGGCGCGTACGTTTAAGTGTCTTAAGATTAAAGATGGAAGCGCCCATCGTACGTGTTAGCAACAACTATTTGCAAGACAGAATAGGTAAGCACTCATCCATTTACCTACGCAAGCCTACAGGCTAAAAAGAGAGCTGCCACCTGTAACTAATTAACGCAGGCAAAACTACACAGTACTATCACCACCACATCACGGCAGTGCATAAGTTACATGTAAACTGACAGTACAGAATGCCATAGAAATTATACGATTTAAGGTGCATAAACCTTCTTCAACCAAATTTAGCTTTTGAAATTTCACTGTGACATTGTAGCCTCATACATCCAGGCATGTATATAGATTCTACTAGCAAACCCGGCAGTCAAATTCTTTCTCGTTTTCAAATTACCCCCCCACGTCCCGAATATCGTGACCGTACGTCAAGCGGTTAGGATTTGTGCCCAACTGTTGACGCACACACGCACAGACGGACGAACGGACGAACGGACGGACGATCATGCGATTCTACAAGCTGCATCTGACTACATCAGATGAGCTAAAAATGGATAAGACTACTTTTACCTTGTTTGACCCTTTAACACCTAGGAATGTTTTCATTTGTCCAGCATACGATGTTTCTTTTCCATCTTCTCCTGTAGTATATAAACAAAACAACAACAATATGACTTCTAATTGTAAACGTGCCACAAGCGTTTAGTTTGGGGAATGGACACTTTATAGGGTACACAAGAACACTGCAAGGAAGTAAACCACAACATATTTTAATCTAGAAAAATAATTAAATTAATGAATGAATGACACAATTCTTTATGAGATACAAACTTTTTAAAATTATATTTTACAGGGGAAAGCTAAAAGACGTTGTTTTGAAACACCATATTACACAGCTACGCACAGATCATCCCACGGCTATACTGACTGCAACATACATATTACACTTTTGATGACTCACCGACTGCAGATGAGCGCACAGCAAATGCCTTCTGTTCCCACTGGTCACCAAACATTTCTGTCAACTGTCCCAGAATTATCGTCACCAACTGTGGACCAAGCTTCGTTTTCATGAATTTTTCCACAAGTGATTTTGATATTTCGTGTCGATCACCTGGCCTTTTTTCACTGCAACAAAACATTTTGGAACACAACAGTCAATACTACGTGGATTTTATCCAGATTTTATTTACTTGTATTATAATTAGAGATAACAAGTGCCGCGGAGCGACAGCGCTCATCTAACGTCTACTGCGGTGACTCTGTGGTGGAGTGGAGAACTTGGCTGCATGAATGAGCAGTGTGAATGACTGCGTGTGTTTGCTCAAAGGACGGTGAGTGCATAGGATGATGTTTATTACTGGACATGCCTCACGATTCAGATTCTTTTATTTTTGGCACTTTCATTCATTTGTAACAGATAATTTCAATGATAGCAAGTAAAAGGGAGAGAAATAAATAATATTATAAAGTCTCTTCGGCTTCAGCCGCTCATCGCTCTTAGATTTCATTTAATAATAAGATTGGCAATTGCTATTCATTTTTTTTTTTTTTTTTTTTTTTTTTTTTTCGTCCTTGTCACTGCATCCATATAATTAACGCTGGGTTAACCCAAAAACGTCTCCCGTTATCTTGCCCTAACCCAGATGCGTGTCCGAATTCGTACCTAGGTTAACCGCAGGCCTCGGCTCTGCGGAAGCAATAATCGAACGCAGATAATTTGTAATGGTTTATATGACGGCGCTAGATAAGTTCGTTTCTGATATTTCCGATGAAAAACATATGCTTTTCCTCATTAATATAACATATAAAATACACTATGAAATTGCAATTCTTTCTGGGCAAATTAGTGTTAGTTTTCCATCTCAATTTTAAGTTATGAAGAGGGTCTGGGCTCTCGTTAATATTGCATACGTACGTATGTAGCTACCACTCGTCGTGCTTTCGTGCCGCAGATGCGAGAAGAGCGAGGGCTAGCGACCAGTATACTACCTACTTTAGACGCTACGAGCGTAACTATAGATAACTAGCGCTAGCGACAGTACCTTAGAGCTATACGTATCCGTACTCGTTGACAGGCTCAGTAGTAGTATCTAACTAAGTACGTTTAGTAGTACCGTAGTAGTCAGCCTAGTGTTTAAACCCGCTGAGGTCCAGGCTGAACGTAAACTAACGGCACGCAGCCGGCAAACGAACATAAGCAGAAATTCGCAGCTATAAGCTATAAGCCGCTAGAAGGTTTTACGACGGTAGACCCCTCCTGCATAACTTAAGAGGTTACAGATGAAATAACAGATTTGCACAAAAGAATTGCAATTATAGTAATAATTATATGTTATAATAATGAGTAAAATATGTGGTCCTTTCATCGGCAACATACACCTCAGAAACACTTATACGTTATCTTATAGAGACATAGCGGTCGATAAACCCACAACAAACATTTACCAAAACGGTGTTTGTCCTCCGTTGTCTTGAAGGTTCTCCAGCCCAAAGCCAATCGAAGCTGAAGAAACGCATGCATCACTTTGGTTGAATCACTGAAACGTCATGTGTTATTATAAGAACACATAGCTAAACAACTAGCTTCTAACTCAACTTACAGAAAGTCTCGGGAAAGTTTTTGGTAGATAAGTTGCGGGATTTTGGCTACAAGTCACTGGAGGCTGACAGTCTTGCCAAAAATTCAGCCAATCAGAAGCTAAGGCGGCCTAAAATCCTTCGTAAATTCCTTCGTCGTTTGGGAAAAAACATTTCGTCGCCGGCCCACGCCAGCCGACGACGTGGCCGTTCCCAGCGGCAGCGTCGGGGTCAGGAGGTTTGGCTGAAAACACTTTGCAGATACGCACTGTAGGTCCGCGGCCACCCCCACGTGCAGCGCGTATCGACACTTCGTAAAGCTCTGTGATAGACCCTAACGGCTATACTCGGCCACTAGCGCCGCGTCCCCATCCCCGCGTACGCGGCCACACACAAGCGAGCGCGTCATGACGCTGATGACAGCATTTCTTGAGAGTTTTTGTAGCACGATCGCCTACACGTCCTTAGCCACTGAGCCGCGCAGCCCCCCAAAAAAGGGTTGGGGGCCGTTTGCGCCAGATGGCCTCCTGCCGTCGCATCGCCGCCAATTGCTCGGTTGCCAGTGCGCCTCCAAGTTTTCGCGTAGTGCGTATTTCAGACCCGCTCGTCTCCACCCATATCTCTCTAAGTGCGACAAAAAGGGGCGGCGTATTCGCGTTGCGCGCAAAAACGCCCGCGGGGCCCGCAACTCCGCCTCCTAGCTATAAAATTATTTATAATTCACTCGCCTCAGTCATAATCATAGATCATAACTTACTCTCAGAATGCAAAAACCACAAACCGAAATCTATGGCACATCTGTGATCTATCAATCAAACACCACACTTCAGACATTAAAAACAACTTCACAACACATCGGCGGTCAACGCCCTTGGCGAGGTAAAACTAAAAACATTCCCTCAGTCACAAACAAACTCCGCGAAAATAATCGGTTCAAACAACAGTAATGTATTGTAATAAATTATGTCATCCTAACTACTGGGGTTTATACAGTGACGGCTAGTCGCTATTGGAATTGCTAAGCGTATTAGCCCCTGACGAATCTATAGGAACACATAGTAAACGTTCCAAATGAATTATTATTATTTTTTTTTTTTTTTGCGACGAAGTATACTGCGTGTTTCGGCGGTCGTGGTTTTGCAAGGTTCGCCAACGAGTACTACTCGTCGTTTGCTGCGTTGAAGCGTCGTTAAGTTAAGGAGTGAATGTTCCCCCTTTCTTTTAGCGCACCTCTTTGAG